AATTTTCTAAAAGCTATTCTTCACAAACATCATAGACCATTTGCCCATGTGTTTGCATATTCCTAAAATATTCCAGACTATTGTTTCTGAATTTGATTTATAATGCAGCGACACTCCAGCAGGAGGGAAAACAAGTAGAGAAATTTTGAACTGTATTTATAATAAGGGAATGATGAGATATTAGTCATGAAACTATGGGATTTTCACTTTGCTAATGTGCCATATCACAGTTGGGAAACATGGTACAATATCATAATTTTAGATTTTATTCAAGTTCTTATTGCCTATAGCATGAATGCTATAATTTTAAGACTTGTTTATGCAAACTTCAGTCATGTGGTATTCTGCTAATGTACATGATTATGTTAATTTGTTAATGCTTTTTTGTCTTATGTGACTCGACTTTTTGGCCTCTCCAAGGGGAATACTGGTTCCATTATTTCACAAAAAATTAAAGAATAAGATAATTATTGATAAAGCAAATATTATTTATTATATACATGAAGCAATTGTAGGCATTAGGAAGAATACAGTAGAAATATATTTCAGATAGCTTTCAACTGTAAGTAACAGAAGAAAGTTGTCTTGATACAGGGTAGTAGAGGGATGATACTAGCTAATAAATATGCTCAAGGACCGAGTTCTATTCTTTGTTCCAGTCTATCACCCTCCTTCTCATTTGCAAGATGGGTACTACAGCTCCAGGTATCACATTTTCACAAAGCACCACCTCAGAACAGAAAAAAAAAAAAGAATATTGCTATCTGTGCACATTTTGTTGAGAAAGAAAATCTTTCCAGCAACCCCTTCCATTTGCAGATTTTCTTACAGTTCCCATTGACCGAAATCATATCGTTTCCATATGCTCTGGCTATAAGGGAAGCTGAGAAAGAATAAGAATGAACCTAGGGATGTTTTTTAGAAGGAACATTGGATCTCTTGACAAGAAGAATTTTGTAGTGGGGGTGGGGAAAAGGAAGGATAGATGCCAATGTAGTAAACAATAACATCTGTCTCAAAGAATTAGATGTTTAAAAACCCACAATAATAATTGTTTTATGCCGATTTGTTAGTTGTGAGATACTTGCAAACAAATCATCTCAATCCATAAAACAAATCTGCCTCATGTAGGCATTATATCTACCTGAAAAAAAAGATCCATGAAGTACAATATATGTTTCCTTATATAGTAGTACCAGTAGTATAATAACTCAGGGTCAAGGCACATTAATTAGGGCATTTATGTTCACTGTGTACACACATACACACACACACACACACACACACACACACACACATACACACCCCTAGTATTGGTGCCATTAACTGTTGAGGACAATAATTCTGGCAGAAAGATACAGAATAAGCTGGAGAAAGAATGGAGGCAGGAAGACTAGCTACAAGGCTATTTGTTACAAACAAGAGTCAACTTTTCATGATTCTTGTCTTAAATGAGGAGACAAGAAATTAAACAAGACTGGTGGTAACTGAAATTGTAGAAATTGGTGACTCAAAAATATTTCAGAAGGAAATAAACAGGATTAGATGACAGATCATATAGAAGAGATTAAAGAGAGGGAAAAGGAAAAAAAAAACTAAAAGACTCTTCTGTAAGAGAGCAATAATAGAAGAAATTATTGACACAATAATCTATTAATAACTTGGAAAGTCAAATAATGTCAGATTTCAAATAGGCTAACTTTAGGAGATAAGTGAACTTCCACTTATAAACATTCAGTAAACATCACATAGAAGTGAAATCAAGGATAAATTTCCTTAAGAGTGATCTTTAATGGAAGTATTTTTAGAAGGATGTAAGATAAAACAGCTAAAGCAAGACTTTGACATAGCAAAGGATGCACTCATGTTAGGAAAAATCTTTGGGTTATGACACCGTACCTCCATCAGTGCTTATTTGAAGCTGTCAAAATCTGTGGCTGATCAGTTTAAATTCTTTAAATTTGAGGACCTAAAATAAAAAATAATTGAATGTCAAATTACATGGAGATTTTGAAAGAAAATACACTGCATTGGCACTCACTACTCTGCCAGTCCCACACTCGGCTCCCACTGCATTGCTTTTTATTCTGTCACCTAAAACTCCCAGCTTGTTGCACTTGCTTTTGCACTTGCTATTCCCTCTGCCCTGATTCTCTGCTCAAATCCCAACTCTATAGCTCTCCAGCTGTGCGAACTTAGGTAAGTTATTTAACATTTTTGTGTCTCCTTTTCCAAATTTATAAAGGACTATATTATCTATCTCGGGGTGTAATTAGCAGTACATGAATTAATGCACAAAATGTTCTCAAAAACGCACAACATGAGCTCAAACAATTCTATAACATTAAGCTCAAAGATATCTATTTTCAAACTGTTGTTCAACCCTACAAAGTAAGGCTATAGGAAAGATAAGAAAAGTTTAGAAAAATCTAACTCTGAGAGTCTCCAATTATTTTTTTTGATCAATCTAGCATGATGTGTTTGACATCAATCCCTGCCTGCTTCTGCTACACCTACTCAACCCCAACCAGTTCTTCCCAATTATTGTCTCATCCAAGACTAGCCAGGCTGAAATTGATTCCTCCTACGGCAGAAACTACACAAAAGTCCACAGCCCAAGGCAAAGCTCTGCCTCCCTTGTCAGTGTTCCTCCTTGTTAAGGGTGACTTATGTCTATTTCTCTGTTTCGCTTTCCCTGCTCACTCAGTTTCTGCACACTGCCTCGTTCCTGTTTGCCCAGTTCTTGCAAAAACTGTTTTGCTTTTTGGTGTTTAGGATAGCCTGGTCACTAACTGTTTTGCATTGCTGCTGCTTAACTTTGCACATCATCCCTTTTGGGTGACTCGATTCTGACTTCAGTACCTTGATGAACCCTATTTTGTACCACTCTGGGGGTTGACATTAACTTTTGCTTGGACGATACGTTACTAATTTGCTCTAAGTCCAAATCATAGCCATATGTATTTCTTCTATAATGGTTTTCAGTCCTTAGGAGTTTGTTTTTGTGGCTTTTGTTTAGTTATTTACCATCCTCATTGTTTATCTATGTATGTTCAGCTACTGACTTCCTCCCTTTTTGTGGACTCAGTGTGGAATCCAGTGTATAAAAGATAAATACACAGCTGTGCTTGATTCTGCAGGAGAAGACTGGGTGTTTTTTGTCCTCATTTCCCTCTTCCCCATAGTGAAGTCACCGTCCATCCCAAACTATCAAGGGGAAAATTGGCAAAGCCTGACTATCTCACAGGTACTTTAAATGTGGGAATTTGCTTTTTTATGCTACTTATATATCAAACATATTTACATTATTCAAAAGCACATTATCTAATTTAGTTTTTACAACCACCCTATTAATTAATTAATTAGTTCATACATTCATTTGTTGGCATTCAGCACATTTTTATTGAGGGCCTGCTACTTGTCAGATATTATTCTAGGGGTTGGACATATAAGATTGAGACTGTCGTGAGGCAGGTGTGGAGGTTTTTATTATCTCCATTAACAAATAATATACTTGTGACTTCAGGAGTTGCATAACTTACCCAACTTCACATAACTATATATAGCAAATCCATAAGTACAAATATTCTTCCTGAAGACTTTTCTATCCTCTGTGCTAAAATTATGATGTAAGGCCTTTCAAATCCAGAAGTAGTTTACATTTTCTGTATTGTTAGTTCTCCTTTCAAGTGAAATGACATATCAGACACTCTTAAATGGTTGTAAAATAGTAATTCAGTATTTTATGATAAATTGATTCACCTATTTGGGATATATAGCATGATTCAAGGTAAATAGTCAAATTTTCTTATATGTAGCATAATGATGGCAATAACACTTAAGTAACCAATAAAAATAAAAAATCAAATTTTCAAATACATGTATCATTCTTCCATTCATATTTTTAATGAGATAGCTAATTGTTATAAGTTGTGCTTAGATTATTTGTCATTACTGATTAAAACTATGTGTTGAATAAATTAGCTTGTCACTTAACCTATTATTCTATAACAATAAATGACAATAAGTTAATACTTAAATCTAGAATAGTAGTTTTCAATTGAGAATAATTTTTTTTCCCAAACAATATCTGGATGCATGTGGAGATGTTCTGGTTGTGCTATGGGTATCCAATGAGAGGGCCCCAGAGATGCTGCAAAATAGAACAACTCCCACAGCAAAGAATTACCCAGCTCAAAATGTCAATAATACAGGTGATTGAGAAATCCTTATCTAGCAGCATGTATGATAAAAAGATGTGAAAAGCCTAAATTTAAAAAAAATAGATTTTATAAATAAAGTGTTAGAAGGATATTTTGCAAAATAAATCATAATTCTCTGTTACAGATAGCCATCATTTGATCTTTAGCTAAAGATGGTTTGTATGTAATAGTTATACATTTTTTGTTTATTCTAGCATAATTAGTAGTGGCATAAGTGGAAACATAATGAATGATCAATAGGAAAATGGTTGCTCAAATTATGATCGAACCACATTATGAAACATTATTCAGCTCTTAAAAATGAATTAGTTCTATACTACACCTCTTCCTCACTCTTTCCTCTCTTTTTAACTTTCTATTTTCAACTAATTTTATACATCAAAAAATTATAAACTGTAGCAATGAATATCTGTAAATCTCTCACCTAGGTTCCCCTAATGCTAATATCTTACTTTACCACAGTTACAATTATCAAAACCAAGAAATTAATATTGGTGCAATACTAAACTAAGCCAGGAATCAGCAAATTTATTTCTTAAAAGCAAGATAATATTTTTCTTACCGATTTGTGTGAGTGCTTTGTAGATTCCGAATATTAGCCCTTTATCAGATGTATACTTTGCAAATATTTTTTCCCATTCTATAGGTTATCTATTTGTTCTGTTGATTATTTCCTTAGCTGTGCAGAAACTTTTTAAATTTAATCAAGTCCTGTTTATTCATTTATGTTGTTTCTGTAATTGCCATTAGGATCTTAGTCATAAATTCTTTGCCTAGACTGATATCTAGAAGAGTGTCCCCTACATTTTCTTCTAGAATTCTTTTGGTTTCATGTGCAGAGAGAAAGGAACACTTCTACTGCATTGGTGGAACTGCAAATTAGTACAACCCCTATAGAAAACAGTATGGAGATTCCTCAAAGAACTAAAAGTAGACCTACCATTTGATCCAGCAATCCTGCTGCTCAGTATCTACCCAAAGGAAAAGAAGTAATTTTATCAAAAAGACACCTGAACTCGAATGTTTATGGCAACACAATTGACAATTGCAAAGATGTGAAATCAACCCAAGTGCCCATCAATTCATAAGTGGATTAACAAAATGTGGCGTATGTATAACATGGACTACCACTCAGCCATAAAAAAGGATGAATTAATGCCTTTTGCTGCAATTTAGAAAGAATTGGAGACCATTATCCTAAACAAAGTATCTCAAGAATGGAAAAACAAGCATCCCATGTACTCTCTAATAAATTGGGACTAACCAATGGGCATAACAAGTACCTAAAGGGAAGTAAAAGTCATTGGAACTCAAGGGCGAGGCAGAAGAAGGGGAGAAGCAAAACCCACCTAACAGGTACAATGAACACTATTTGGGTGATAGACACGTTTATAGCCCTGACTCAAGCCCATGTAACAAAAACATTTGTACCTCCTTAATATCTTTTGAAATAATTTTTAAAAAAGGACTAGATAATAAATATTTTAGGCTTTTTAGGCCATACGGTCTGTGTTGCATCTACTCAACTCAGCCAGTAAGGAGTGAGAGAAATCACAGAAAATATGGAAGTGAATGAGTGTGGATGTGCTCATTAAAACTTAATTTACAAAACAGGCAACAAGGCAGCTGACCTCCGAACAAAGACTTGGTTCTAATGTCACCAGTTTTTTCCTTTAATATCCTTTTTCCATTCTAGGATACTATCTGGAATCCTACATTGCATTTAGTTGTTATTTCTCTTTAATCTCTTGCTGTGTGTAAAAGTTTCTTAGTCTTTCCTTTCCTTGACAGTTTTGAAGAGTGTTGATCAGTTATTTTTGTCAAATGTCCCTCAATTTGCATTTATCTGGTACTTCATCATAGTTTTTCTGAAATTTGTACTCACGAAAACTTCACTAGAATATTACAGAAATGCTGTGTCCTCAGGGCATCATATCAAATGGTTCATGACATCAATGCATCTTGTTACTGGTGATATTGATCTTCATTATTTGGTTAAGATGGCTTCTACTGAATTTCTTCATTTAATGCTAACTATCCTTCCCTTTGTAGCTACGAATATCTTGGGCTACATTCCTTGAGACTATGCAAATCCTGTTTCTCCTCAAACTTTCTTCCTCAAATTTTAACATGCATAAGTATATCTTGTCTGAAAAAAAGTATTACTGCAATGTTTGCCTAATGGTAATTTTCTTTTTTTTTCTTTTTTTATTTTTTTACTTTAGCGTATTATGTGGGTACAAATGTTAAGGTTACTTATATTGCCCATGCCCCCCTCCCCCCTTGAGTAAGAGCTTCAAGCATGTCCATTCCCCAAACGTTGCACATCTTACTCGTTGTAGTTGCATATGTTTGCCTAATGGTAATTTTCTATGTCTTTCATTCCTTCTACATTTAATTGAAATTCTAGTATAAGGAAGAGTGATCTTCCTTATTTATTCTTTGATTTGGTTCTATCAAAATTAACTCATGGGTGGATATTTAGGTTATCCTATGGTTTATAATCCAATAATATAATTTGTTTTGTTGCTCAAATTGTTCAGGTTGGCTCTTGTATTCTTTCAACATTTTTTTTTAAGTGTCATTTCAAAAGCTCTCAGTTTTAAAATTCTTTTTTTTTTTTAATTTGTAACGCCACAAGACTTTTAAAACTCATCTTGTATTTTCCCTATCCAGGCCTTAGAATCAACCACTTATCCAAGGAGCCCTGATTCTTTTTAATGGAGAATGGTGTTTTGAAACCAAG